CAGGAGACCGTAGACATGGTGCTTTCCTATGGCAGCTGCCTGGATGACCAAGGGCGGCCGAATGGTGACTTGAGGAAGGTGACACTCCTTTCCGATGCATCTCATGCTCCGCAAGGACTTCGAGGGTGCCAAGGAATCCTGGCGCTGTGGGGAAATGCCTTGGTCCAATGGGAAAGCCGAAGGCAGCCTTTTGCAGCCCTTAGCAGCACAGAAGCTGAGTTGATCGGCTATGTGGATGCGCTGACGATGGGTGAGTCCTTGCAGGTGATCCTCAATGTGTTGGAGCACAACGACCTGGTGGAGAGCGGCCAGTTTGAGATTCGAGGAGACAACCTGTCAGGGATCCAGCTTCTTTTGGCTCCTGATGGCCCTTGGAGAACCAGACATTTGAGACTGAGAAGCTTCGTCTTGAGGGAGCGACTGGCAGCACGAGAATGGCGGGTTCAGCACACCCCTGGCTCAGAGCTTGCAGCAGACCTCCTCACGAAGCCTGTGGTGCTGATGGCGAGCTGGGAAGTTTTTCGTAGGACTGTAGGCCTAGTTAGGTTTGTGCAGCCGACTGAATCATCCCGTTTGTGTCGCCTAACAGAGGCGGTGGTAGCCTTAGGAGGTTTGATGCTCCAACATGGGGCGAGCAGTCTTGTGAAAACGGCTGGAGCTGTGAGCTTGTCAGCTTTGACAGCATGGATGTGTTGCATGGAAGGGCTGGCATCTATGGCTAAACCAGTTGAAGAAAAGAAGGAACCAAGACCAGCACAAAACCAAGAAAAGAGGCCTAGGGAAAATGAACCAGGCCCTACTAACCCTACTGAACCTACTTCCGACTGTAGCCTCACAGGCTCCCCAATCGTGCCTCGCCTTTGTGCGGTGCGTGGAGCCATGGCTGCTGGATCGTGGAGCGGTCCATGGGATGACGCAGAGTTCCAGAGCTTGCCGACGGGAAGCAGTGACCGCTGGCGCAGCTTGACTGGTGGGTGGTGGGTCAGGGTCCACGGTGGACTCCGATCCAGGCTGTACCACCCGGTGCACACAAGCACCCCTGTGAGGTGCGAGGACTTGGAGCCGGAAAGGACGACTGTGATATGGCATTGCACCGGTGGTCGACCCTGGACCCGGCAGGTGCACTGCGACCACTGGGGCTTTGGAAGCCAGCCTGTGCCAGGGGTTGGACAGTGGAAGGGCTTCACCTTTTTCAGGATCAAGGAGGGCGACCAGAGTGGGGCCAACAGCTCAGGGTTGCCCAGGATCCGACCTGATGTGGTGACCTGGAGCGAGGAGAACCTACCACCGATGGTGAAGCAGGGTGGCATGTCAAGTGCTTACCCACCACCTGGGGCCAGAGAAAGCACCGAAGAAGAGGAGGCTGACCCAGGGGTTCCGTTTGAGCACGGGATGGTCCAACCTGGAAGAAAACCACCACCTCAGGCTTGGTTCCAGCGACAGAATATGCAGGGTTGGATGAACCGTATGGCCAAACCACCAGCAGTTCCAGTACACCATGCAATGCCAGGACCACCGCCAGCGGGTCCACCACCTCATGGGATGGCGGGATCGCTTCCAACTGGTCCGCCTCCTAGCAGTGCAGGGCAGGGTGGCCTGTCGAGTGTCGATCCACCGCCCGGGGCTGGAGCTGCACCGAAGCCGATGGCTGAGGGGTACTGCAGGCCAACTCATAAGTATGGCCGGTATCAGGCGCCTGCAGAAGCTGAAGGAGACCGTCCTCGTGGCCGACCTGGACCTGGACCTCGTGGAAGAGCCGCTATGGGCATTGGTGGGCCGATCGATGCTCGAGAAGAAGGCCGGATGACTTCGGCCGGATCTATGTCGATGGGAGCAGGACCTATGGGGGTCATCCCAACTGGAGCTGGAGATCGACCTGGTGAAAACCCGCTGCTGGCTTCTTTGAGGGTGGCAATGCGACCTCCAGAGCAGAACCCAGGTGGCTTGGCATCGTCGAGCTCTACGGTGATCCCTGGGGAGTGGGCCACACGAGGGGACCCGGGGCTGATTACCCCGCGGGGGTCCGTGGCTGGAGCATGGGCTAACCGGCCTACCTTGGTCGCCAAGGCCCTGGGCACTCCATACCAGGCCGAACGGCGATTGAATCCTCCCCCGGAGGGCTTGGAAGAGGCTGAAAGCTTCCAGGAGGAGGCATTGGAGTCTGAGGCCGACACCAGTGATGACTACTCCCTGGTGTCTGAGGAGGAGAACGTGGACGCTGCTGAGACTCCCGAGAACGAGGAGGAGGACATGTAGCAGAGCTTCCCTTTTTTCCTTTCCCAAGACCAGCCAACGAAGCTTTGGTCTGGCATTTTGTTACGGCCACCGAAAATGTTGCACCTAGCAACATTGGGGGAGTGTGGTGCCATTTTCAATTTGGATGGACACGCACAAATCAAGAAGTGTTCACATGTCTCAGGGGTTTTACATGCTTCAGTCGTCTCACTGGCATGACCCCTGCACAAGCGATGACACGCTACCTTTTGGATGGCTCAAGAAAGAGGCAGCCGCTGCTGCTTCGGGTTTTTTTCCCCCGTTTGGGGATCGCAGTTACAATATGATGTTCTATTCCCATTAGAATGTTGGTTCATAACCATTACGTCCGAACCATAGTAATGTAACATAACCACATCATGTCCGAATAAGAGTACTATAACAATAATAATTCACATAGAGCAAACAGAAAAAAAAACGCAAAAAGAGTAGTTGTGAGATGTACAACTGTACAACAGAATACAATGGATGTATCACATGGAAAGTGTCCTGGAAAATGTAACATGAAAAAATTGTTCAACCACCTGTTGGTTGAAGCCGCCATCCCAAACATATGCCATATCTCATCATATATATATAATATCTCCCTGTGAAACTAGCATTTACTGCATTTGATTGCTGTTCTGGTTCTTTTTCAATCAGCTGAATGGGAGGTTTTGTGATTGTTTTGGCCTGTTTCTTGAAGGTTTTTTCTTCCATATCCACCCATGATTAGCCCATGATTTTTCCCCATTTTTCACACCTCAACTGAGATCCAAACTGGACCAACCTGGAGAGGATGGAGGAGAGAAAAAACCATGGAAACATCAACAAAAAATCTAAAGATGAAATCAGAAACCAGAAATGCATCTTAGAAATCTATAGAAATCGATCATGTGGTCAGAAAATGTCAGAAAACTCTTCCTCAGTTTCCCCATTAGCTCTGACCCACTCCCACCATTCACCACTGGACCACGCCTTCTCATGCCCTGGCTCCTGACAAGCACAACAAAAAGTCAGGCATGGCAAGTTTGGTCAAAATTGTCACCTTTGAAAGAACAACATGTTGGATTCCAAAACATGACGTAAAAAGCGCAAAAAATTAAAAGGCCCGTGGATGTTCACCAAAGTGGTTAGCAAGCAGCCCATCCGGCATGTCCTGTAGCCACTCTATGAGGCTCATCTGTCCCAAATCGCCAGACAAAACAACCGGTGACTGGAACTGCCGCTATTCATCAGGCTCCAAGTTGGTTGGAGGGGCTGCCTGGTGGGTTTCCAAAAAACATGTTCAACGGTCATTTCCGGGATCTGTTTACAGCTCCTCATAGCTAAGATAGCTAAGCTTGAGCCAAGATATCCAGTCAGAGCACAAAATTTTGCTGCTTCATCATGTTCCCATTGAAATGGCATTCTTCGGGGGCTATACCCCATTTTCAAACACACCCACATGAAAAATCTCTATATTATATCCCCCTTGTATCCTCATCATATAGCCCTTATCTAGCCACATTTGGGTGGATGAACATCCTAACATCATCTGTTCGTTGGTTCGTTGCCCCGCACTTTTTGCAGGACTCGGATCGCTGTGTGACGGAACGGCCTTTGGATGGGCCACTTCTCATCGACATCCGTCGATGTGTCATGCACCTGGCTCCGCCTTCACTTCATGTCCTGGAAATAAGTCAAACATGGTCAAACATGATCAAAATCATTCAATATCTTCACTACCTTTGGGTTGTTATTATTATATTTATTATTGTGATATATTGTGATTTTGACCGCCTGCACAAATTCCCAGAACGTTCAGAGGTGTTAGGCGCTGGCTGATTCGCTGCAATGTTACATTGCAAAGCTCGACCCCATCAGGATGCGGACAGAATCACCGGTTCTCTCCAGCCCAGCATTCCAAAACCCATAGGTCCATAGGTTTTCCACCAAGTAATCAAGAAATAGAGTCTATGAGTCTATGAAACATGTTTGGAATGTATTTTTCCAAGGTGTTCCTATCATGTTTGTCAGTTTTTGTATAACCTCTGTGATTTTGGTGATTCCATGCGTCCACATATCCATCATTGTCCATCTGATCCAGAGATCAGGAAACCCAAATCCCCTCCGCCCATCAGAGGAAGGCTTGCAACGCCTACCAAAGGAGAGATGCTGGGTAGAGGTCAAATGTTGCTACTTCAAAACTTTGAAAATTTGTACTTATAACATCTTATAACACTTCATTGCTCAAAATGGAAGAACCGCTTGCTTCAACATCTGTTGTTCAAAACCGGGTCTTCAAGTTTGACCCATCTGAGAATCTGTTTCATACACAACAGGTCAAACGGGAATCACTGGATTGGTTCAAGGGAAAATTTACAGGAAACCACAGATTTTCCCATTAAATATGGGGCTTTCCTGTAAATTTTCCCTTAGACCAATCCATTGAGGGAAACAAACAACTTCCATCTTTAAGATCTGATGCTGTGCCGTGCAAAAAAAAATGTTTCGCAACCCGCACTCCTGACAAATGCCAACCCGCCCCTGGTTTTACGCAAGCAGCTCCGAGGCCAAAAGTATAAAGCATCCCAAATTCCATGGTTCATACCGTTCATAGCCATTGTTCCTTCTCAAGCCATGCCATATTTTTGGGAACTGAAACCGAAAAATTGGCTATTCGCCCACAAAACATAGCCATTGATAATCATTGATTATGGATATCCCAGGAAGTCTCCATTTTTTTGATGGCCAAATTCACCATATCAAAATGGCATCTTTTTGGAGGTCCAGTCGTGAAGTCTGAGGGCCTTATAGACTCCAAGCAGGGCTTTCTGCCGTTGGGTCATCTGTGTTGACACCTGCGCTAGCAGTCACTAATGTGTCAGCAATAGGGTACATCAGGTGTTTTGCTGCAGCATTTCCGTCAAAACAAAGCTGGGAAAAGACCGAAGGAGACATGGATCATATATGATACCCTCTGGTTATGACTAACAGTTCGCCATGGTATAGGTGGCCTATAGAAATAGATGGTTTACCTATTACAAATGGGTGGATCTTTCCATGGCGAACTGTTAGTCATAACCAGATGGTAATAGGAATGGGGTTCAGGGATGAACACAGGGATGAACACACCAAATGATGTGTATTGGGAAAGTATAGCACTATGGAATCAGAGGGTCATAGCATAGGTTTAACATATGGTATTTAACATAATTAACACACTATGGTTTCCATGTATTATTAAAACTATGGTACGATAGAATCGCGAGCAAAATTCAGAAACCGCCTTGCTTGGATTTGGAATGTGTTACCTCGAAAAGACAAACACAAAATAAGCAGACCCTGTATACAAAATATAGAAAACATCGTTCAAATATAGAGTCTATACTACAGACTCACAGACTAAAACAAACAATTAAACAAAAAAACATACTTGAACATATCAATCGTGCTTTTTATCTCGTTGAATTTGATGGCAGGGAAATTGAACGTTGAGGTGATCGATGACCCATTTCCCATTTTATCACCAGTGGGTTTCCATTTTTTATCATATGAAATCACCGTCAATATGTATAACATCTCCGTTTTTTAAATACCATCTGGTTATTTAACATAGCCATCGAAAATCCCAAAAAGAAATGGAGGTTTGTAGCTGGGAAAATCATCTATTTCTATGGGCCATCTATACCATGGCTATGTTAAATAACCAGAGGGTACATATAGAACCACGCATTAAAACAAATATCTGGGTAAATTATAATATTTCACTAACCTGAATCTTGCGGCCATTTGGGGATGATTTCCCTTACTAACCATGATTCCAGGCTTCGGTCGCAGTGAGGTCGTTATAATTTACCCAGAAATATGTCCTCTGGACATATATGAATGTTCTCTGGGATGATATCTGGGTAAATTATAAACCATATGTCAACCATAATTTACCCAGAAAAAAAATATATACATATACATACATATACATACATAATATTATTTATATACATAATATCATGATTATCACCATTATATAATATATATATATACATATACATTATATATTATATATATATATCTACAAGAGTCAAACCATGTGTGTTTTCCCTTTAAAAAAAGTCGTCCCGCTACTTTACAAAGGGAGCCCACCTCCTCTAACTCCGAGATATGTCGCTGCAAGAGAGTCTGTAGATCAGGCTCCTGATCTTAACGTGGATGTCAGACGTTGGATGATTCAACCATTAATGATGCTGGATGATGATGGAAATCAACATTATTAATAGTATTGATGGTTATTATGGCATATTAATCATTATATTTATTACCCATCAGTAAATTAACAGTTGGACCCTGGCAGAAAAGGGTTGGAAGATTAGTTTCCATTGAAAATTGGTGATTTTCAGGGTCTATGTTTATTTACCAGAGGGTAATGATGCTGAATGATGATGGAAATTCAATGATACGTGATCATTAATGGTATCATCAATTGATCCATAATATTGATCAATATTATATAATCAATTTCCAATGCTGATAATAATACTACTGATATCATCATTATGATATGTGATCAACATTGATTAACATTGATTAACATTGATTAATATTGATTAATATTGATTAATATTGATTAATATTGATTAATATTGATTAATATTGATTAATATTGATTAATATTGATTACTGATATCACTCATGTAGATGATCAGTATTGTGATCATGATATAATCCATATTATTTTAATATTGATCACTATCATTAATATGTGCTAATGACATTGATATCATCCATATGCCTGGGTAAATTATAATATTTCACCAACCTGAAATAAGGCCATGTGGGGATGATTTCCCTTACTAACCATGATTCCAGGCTTCGGTCGCAGTGAGGTCGTTATAATTTACCCAGATATCATTAATATCATTAACAATTTACGTCATGTTGATATCATCCATATATTAATGATATATTTGATGACATAATCATCTACAATTGCTAATGACATTGATATCATCCATATTATTTTAATATTGATCACTATCATTAATATGTGCTCATGACATTGATATCATATGTCATGTTGCTGGATGATTTTGAAAAAACACGAAGACTTTTGATGGTACCTTGGGACCATCAAAAAATCCTGAAAGGCGGCCAGAAGCTGGGGTCCAAGTGGTCCAACTAACCGGATCCAGCTAGATCGCCCGGTTTCCAAAACCAACGAATACATTGTCAAACTCCAAAATGTTCAACTTCAAAACGGTCAACTTCAAATCTTTGCGATTTTTTAGTTTTTTTTTAGGACAGAATTTTGAAGAAACACCAATCAAAAAGTCACATGTCTACCATCCTACAAGATTTCAGGCCTAGAAAATGATGGAAATCGACTTTTTAGACATTCTATCCTATCCCTAGATGGAACAAAAAATGATGGATGATGATCACTATCCTATCCTACAATTTTTAAAAACATCCTCTCGTTCTCCTCTGCGTGATCCAATTTCTCGGTCGGCATCGGCGCATCCTGCGCGATGTTGGATTGCCCATGGGATGGAAGAAAAACCGAGAAAGTACCTATGAAAGATAGTTTGGATATTCTGTTGGATGGATATGGTTGGACTTTACCCTCTGGTAATGACTAACAGTTGGCTATTGAAAATGGCCCAGTCGAAATCGTGGATTTTCCCATCAAAAAAGCATGGTGAATCTTTCCAGTTCGTGATGTGGCTGTTTACCAGAGGGTAGCCATTAGATTGGATATCATATGTTTGGGAAATTGTGGGAATCAACGAATCTTAGCTATTAGATAGCTATTAAATAGCTATTGGAGATAGCTATTAAACATCCATAAGCTTCAGCTCTTTTGGCTCCTCAGCATCCAACTTCTCTGTGGCCACGGCCTCAAGAGCCTCCTCGACATCCATCGATTTTGCCTCCGTGTTGGACGAAAATCATTGGGAAAACCATGGGAAAATCTGAAGGAAACTCAGTATATCTGAGTATCTTCATAAACTTTATAGAATACTTCAGGTTTTCTTCAGATTTCTTAAGATTGTATGATAAATAATTGAGTATTTTGCAGATCCAGAACTTCTGTTGATTGGGGATAGGCTGGCCCCTTCGCCGATCCTCCAGATGACCTGGACTGAAGCTTTCCTGGCGGAAAGAGGCGGAAAGGGATTGTGGTTTGGATAGATCCGATAGAACCGGAAACCATATGGTTAATAATGGTTAATGATGGTTAAAGATGGTTAATGATGGTTAATGATGGTTAATGATGGTTAATAATGGTTAATGATGGTTAAAGATGGTTAATGATGGTTAATGATGGTTAATGATGGTTAATGATGGTTAAAGATGGTTAATGATGGTTAATGATGGTTAATGATGGTTAAAGATGGTTAATGATGGTTAATGATGGTGAATGATGGTTAAAGATGGTTAATGATGGTTAATGATGGTTAAAGATGGTTAATGATGGTTAATGATGGTTAATGATGGTTAAAGATGATTAATGATGTTAATGATGGTGAATGATGGTTAATGATGGTTAATGATGGTTAAAGATGGTTAATGATGGTTAATGATGGTGAATGATGGTTAAAGATGGTTAATGATGGTTAATGATGGTGAATGATGGTGAATGATGGTGAATGATGGTGAATGATGGTTAATGATGGTTAACGATGGTTAAGGATGGTTAATGATGGTGAATGATGCTTAATGATTGTTAATGATGGTGAATGATGGTGAATGATGGTTAATGATGGTTAATGATGGTTAAAGATGGTTAATGATGGTTAATGATGGTGAATGATGGTGAATGATGGTTAAAGATGGTTAATGATGGTTAATGATGGTTAATGATGGTGAATGATGGTGAATGATGGTGAATGATGGTGAATGATGGTGAATGATGGTTAACGATGGTTAAGGATGGTTAATGATGGTGAATGATGCTTAATGATTGTTAATGATGGTGAATGATGGTGAATGATGGTTAATGATGGTTAATGATGGTTAATGATGGTTAATGATGGTTAATGATGGTTAATGATGGTTAATGATGGTTAATGATGGTTAATGATGCTTAATGATGGTTAATGATGGGCAGAAACTTCGTTGCAAACCACCAACGACGTGGCTGGCTCAAGCTCCTCGACAGGCTGCGGAGCCAAGGTGTCCTGCATGGGGAAAACAACATGTGGGGATTGAAGCCGCAAACATGGAGGTGCACTGCAGCCCTGAAGCAATGCTTAGTTGATGCTTCAAAAACTCGGAACACAACCAACATTCAGATACCATGAATTCTGGCTGATTCTGCATCCATCTGAAGCTTTGGAATTTCACTCCAGGGGTCCCAAACTTCAGATAGAAAAGTATTCAATACGTGATTTCCTACCATTCGTTCGTTTGTTCTATCGTTTGTTCTATGAAATTATGTTTTTGATCTACTTTCCTAATATTTCCTGGATCTGGAGAACTCACTGTTATAGGACTTCTCTATGTCTTTTGGCTTCGCACTGTACCGTCCTGGACCATTTGCGTAGCCGGGAGCTCCTGCCAAATTCATCCTCAAAATGCTACTGAAAAATGATGAAAAATGCTTCATGGTACTATATTTTTTGGGGGAATTTCGCTGGATTTAAGGATTTTACGGTGGGATATGATTCCTCATTCCAGCCAGAGCTGGGCATTTCCAAACCCCATCAACAGTGATTGTGAGAGTTGCATGTCCATTGAGAGTTACTCTCCGATACTCAGCCGTGGCTTGCTGAAAAATGAAAAATAGCCTATTATTCGTTCGATGATTTTCCTATAGAGAACCTCCAATTTTTCGTTCGGGAATTTGTCCGGTTGGAAAACCGGAGGCTACATTGAGGTCATTGTTGGCCAAAATCTCTATGATTCTTGATTCAATGAAGTGGTTTAAGCGAACATTTACAGGAACCCCTCATATTTTATGGGAAAAACATGGAGAAACCAGCCTGTTTCCGGTCAAGATTCTTCCCTTAAAACTTAAAACCATCCAAAGTCAAGGCTAAGTTCGATTTATATGACATATAGTTCCCCGTTTTCGATCGTTTTCGGATATGGATGATATAAATCATTGGATCATATTGGATCCAGTATTCAAATGAATTAGATAACTTTATATTATAGATCATATATATGATATATATGATATATAAATTTCTATGATCTGAAAATCATTAAAATAATCTGAATGGCTTTCTATAACTTTTCGATCATTGTGACTCCCAATTTCTGTTTTTTTAATCGTCTCAATGGCCATCCCAGTGCCTCCTCTTGCGATGCACCAGCCTGCGTTTCAAGCGTTTCCAGGACAGCCTGGAATCATCATTCACCATCATTAACCATCATTAACCATCATTAACCATCATTAACCATGGAAAAAAAAACCAACTGGTTTTCAGAGATCTTGTTGGGTGGATCGGAAGCCCAAAACCACGGTATTTACGATGTTTTTTGCTTCTGGTAGCAAAAAGCACGGTATTTACATGTATTTACAGTGGTTTTTGGCCAGCACCTAGCAAAAACACTGGTATTTACGGATGTTTCACCATATAACAAAATGTGGTTTCTTGATCCGAAAAGAACAAAAATACTGTAAATTACAATGTTTTGAGTCTGCTCTTAGGGTGCGTGGGAGGCGTGGAGTGGGGGGGGGGTACTAAAATGACTAGCAATCTCCTGAATAATCAGGTAACGGGGCTGGCCGCCCTCCCCTTTACTTCGTAAAGTAAAACTCAAGGTAGCTCCTCTGGGCGAAATATGGCAACATCCCATTGAATTCGTGAATTTTCCCATGAAATTCCCAAAAATCCGCCCACACCGCTTTGGCGGTGAAGGCGTGCTTATTGGGGGGCAAAACAGCAACACTAAATGCTCAATGACATTTGTTAATATAGCAGTCGCTATATCAGCTTTAGCTGGGGGGGGGCCAAAAACGGTTTCGCACCGAGACCAGAATACGGTGGTGTTTTCGACATTTTTCGAGGATTTTTGGGTGTCTGAGCGCAAGAGGGTATTGAAATGGAATTTTGGGTCATTTTGGTAGCTTTCCGGCAATGGAAAAACGGCCAAAAATGAAAAAAACATTGTACATAGCAAGATTTTGCAGGGTTTTTGGATGCCAGAGCATTGAAAACACTGCAAAAACAAGTGTTTTGGACTGACGTTATAGCAAAAAACGTGTAAATTACCGTATGTTTGACTGGAAACATTACAAAAACACTGTCAAAAGCAATGTTTTGGAAGGATTTACTGCCTTTATGGCAAAAAACGTGTAAATTACATTAAATTACCGTCTGTTTGACTGGAAACATTGGAAAAACACTGTCAAAAACAATGTTTTGGAAGGATTTCTTATATATATGTTGGAGTTGGCTACCGGCATTGGAACATGGAAAAATTGAAGAAAACACTGTAAATAGCGGTATTTTCAACGGTTGGGGAGATAAGGGAATTGGAAGCATTGTCGAACATGATGTTTTCGACCGGTTTTATGGCGACAAAAGTGTAAAGTACCGTGCTTTGAAGGAAACCATTGCAAAAACATGGAAACACATTCAAAGAACACGGGATTTGGGGGACTATCTAGGCGTCGTTGTCTAGCTATTTGAAATTCCGCAGCTTGGAGAGCCTCCAAGGGAGGGAAAAGTGAAAATTCCATAGCTTGGGAAGCTGTCACGGCGGGGAAAAGTGAAAATTCCCTAGCTTGGGAAGCCCCCACGGGGGGGAAAAGTGAAAATTCCCTAGCTTGGGGAGCCCCCACGGGGGGGAAAAGTGAAAATTCCCTAGCTTGGGGAGCCCCCACGGGGGGGAAAAGTGAAAATTCCCTAGCTTGGGGAGCCCCCACGGGGGGGAAAGTGAAAATTCCCTAGCTTGGGGAGCCCCCACGGGGGGGAAAAGTGAAAATTCCCTAGCTTGGGGAGCCCCCACGGGGGGGGAAAGTGAAAATTCTTAGCTTGGGGAGCCCCCACGGGGGAAAACCACCCTTAGCCCCTCTCACGGACCGAAATAAACCTGCGGTGTGGGCGGCCACCCCACGCGAAGCGGGGTGAATAATTCATCTACAGTTATGGCCTTTTACCAGTTATAACTACTTATAACCCCATTTATAGAATGTATAATCCCGGTTATAACCAGTTATAATTAATAAATGGTCATCACTGTAGATGTCATGCAGCCAAATCAACTGATCCAGGCCCAACTTTGCCCAGTCCTCCGAAAGCCGTGGCCCTGCAACACGCATTTTTTGTCAATCGGCCAATGGATTGCTGGTTTCAGACCCCTCCAGGAAAATTACTTGCAAGCACCCTCCAAAGAAATGTTGTTTGGTTCAGTTTGACCCCATGAAAAATAGCTTGATATATCTACAAGGTGGGGACCCCGTTTACGATAGCTAAGTTGATGAACATAACTTGGCGAACTAGTTTTCTGGGGGATTTTGTTCTGTAGTGGGCTTTGCAAAGCAACTTTGTACCATGAATTGGGGGCCCAACTTTTTTCCTTGTAGGGATCACCTGTCAAAATTACCACCGGCGGAATCATCGCCCATCAATCCCATCTGACAAGAAACACCCACTAGAAACCATGCTTTAGAAGGGGATTAAAACGGATACTTGGGACATCTTGGGACCATTACCCATATGGCTGCGAGTTTTTTTGAACGGAGGAAGATATTATTATTTCAATCATAGCCTCAAAAAGAGCCCCCATGGTTTGATATAATTCGAACACATTCTGGAAGGCCGTGGTTTCTATGGCCCATAATTTGCCATTGTTTTAGGCCACTTTTGGAAAGTGGCCATTTTCAATACCAATTTGAAGGAAAAAAACTAGTGGCAGCTCCTTTCCAAATTTCTCCTCCGATCAAGATCACTGGATACCTTCCGGTCATCAACGTGGCGTGGCGGGGAACCACATCGTCCACAGATGTCCATGGCCCGAGTCATACCAGGTATCACTAAGTCACCCCATTTATGGTTTCTGTATAATCCCATCTCAAAAAAAACATCAAAAATACGGTGGATGGTTGCGAAATCCTGCACCAGTTGGTAGATGGTTTATCCAGTTATAGTCCCATTATCTACAATGTGTCTTAGTTATCAGTAGTTACCAACTGGTGCAGGATTTCCTTCATCCACAGTATCTGGTTGGTGGTTTCAACCCCTCTGAAAAATATTAGTCAGGTAGGGATTATTATTCCCAACATATGGAAAAATAAAAAAAACGTTCCAAACCACCAACCAGGTATGCAATTGGTATCGCCCGGACCATAACTGCAACTACGTCACCATGGATCTCCCTTGGCGGAGCCTGAGACATAGGCTTCACATGGTTGCTTGTATCGCAGTCGCTTCATCTTTGGAACCTGCGGTGTATAGTGAGCCATGGCTAGTGATATAACTGGTGATCAATGGTGATTAATAGTTATTGATAATGGTTAATAATGGTTAAGAATATTATAAATGGGACTATACATTCCATAAATGGGGTGACTAACTGCTTATATAACTGGCAAAAAGGCCATAACTATGCGGAGACCGTGACGTGAATGAACATGTTTGTTCATGTTGACATACAAAAAGGTGGAACTAAGTGGATAATAGATGAGTTTCTATGAAAATGATTTACCTCCAAGTGGTAGTAAAATGATGATTCAGTTGTTCCACGTTGGACAATTCCAACATCAACGTGGGAGATATTGCAAATATATGGAGAATATGGCCATGTTGGGCCACGGATCCTTACTTGAAACATCCAAAATTCTCCCAGTCAACTGTTTCCTGATTCCAATTGGTACATATCTGACCTGTAACATAGCTGTCGTTAAAATATCTTCAAATCCAGCATTTCAAATTTTGAGTTTCCATATGTTTCCATAGCTGAAAAAAGAAATTGAGGCCGTGAGACTCGGGTCGAACTCAGGCCGAATCGGAGGAGACTCGACCGTGGAAGCCACGTCTACAGTTACAATGTGAGGCCGGCCACGATAGCGTTCAGTTTATAAGTCCAATGTCACTATGAGTTGTGGTATTTATAACGAACTAGTTACTGGGGCGAATCTAAAGCAACTTATGAATATCAAGTTCAACGGGATTCGACGAATATAAACAATGAAACAACAGTAGCTGTATTAATAACAAACTATATACCCTGA